GCAGTACTGAATTCAATGACTTTAGAAAGCTACCTATTTTTTATGGTGTCCTTGAGGTGTATATGTTGAACTCTGAATGACCTGGGTTATCATGAGAAGAAAGCTCAGGAGAACTGCACCGAGATGTTAACTCAGAAAGCAGATATTGGTATAGCAAATATCTCTGTAGTGTATTTTAATTCTTCTGAACTTGAGAATGATTGTTGCAGACAGTTGCATAAATACAGTATTTTGATCATGTTCTAGAGACACTGATTTCGAGAGTATTTGGACTTCTGTTTGTTTCCTCAACCACATTTTTTACAAAGAAAAAGGCTCTAATTATCTGTAACATTTTGGTTTCAGAAAGAGTTAAGTATGCATTTTTCACATCTATATGAATTTTACATTTTCTTTTTGCCACCTGCAAAATCTACATAAACTAGTTTTTACTGATGCATAGCACAACATATTAACATAGGGTTTACAAGGGATCTCCACTTATACTGCCAAGCAGCCTTAAGTCTGATCTCCAGGTCCAAGTGAGCTATTTCAAGATGAATGTGCCAATTCTTCATGGTAAAAGCCTGTCTGCAATGCCAACAGAAAGGAAAATACGAAAATCAGTTAGGAAAACTGAATCATTCTGAAGACTGAAATAATTCAAATAAGAGATAATTTAACTGTACAGAGTTAATTAATTTGGAGGTGAACAACAGGATCTGAGGCACTAAACTGAGGACTATGTAACATGAAACAGCCCAAGAAGAGAGTGTTTTGGATTCATCATAGAAAAAAATATGAGCCATCCATAAGCTGTGGCCATGAAAGAGGCAAATATTTTAGGTAAACAGCTTTTTTACAGAACAGAAGTAAAACAGTATGCAGTGTAGAGCGGCAAGATTTCACTGAAATGTTACTTACAGTATAATTTCCTACCATGTAAGGGACGAGCAGAATAGCTCAAAGTGATTGTGGTCTAGTAGTATAAATGAATATCAAGCATGGAGAACAATTAAAACAAATCAGCAGTGTTTGCAAGAAGACAAGTAGGTAAAAGCCCATTAATACATTTACATTACAAATTGGAATGTGATGTTTCTTTAATATTTAGAACTGAACTGAAATTCTCTTTTAGTATAAATAGAGTGGGAAAAATATGAAAAACATATACTCAAAAACCAAATTTGGTTAATTTATAAATAGGTTTATGTGTCTGTGAGTTGCTTTAGTAGCAAAGACATCTCTTGCCACCTGGTGAAGTCTCTTCAAAAAAATCTAATAAAGTGCTTCTTGATTAGCAATTTAATGTAAAGAGAAATGTTTGATTGAATGAGATATGATTGAAGGCATCAGAATATTAATTTAAATCTTGAAGTCATTTCTGTAACGACACTGAAGATTTCATTGCCTAAGGTTTGTTTTCTTAGAGTCCACTTTCAATGGGGCTGCATTTAATACAGCATATTATAAATGACATTAGGAACTAAGTTCTGTTACAAAATCTCAGCTTGAGGATGAAGAATGATCTCCAAAACAAGCACCTTATAAAATAGGAGTGGCTTTTAACAACAACAGTTTTAGAGCTACATAAAATATTATACACAACACAGCTATTAAAGGCATGACTGAAGACATTATTGTTGCTGCACATCTAATAACACAAAAGTTTCTTAGTGCATGTCTCCTTGCTTTCAGATCACAGCATGGTTCACTTTTAAAGGGAATCTTGGAACACCATTCAAAATCCACTATCTCGAGACCAACTATAGCCTGATAGTTCTTTGCTTTGTTTAACAGCTACTTCAAAGCTAAAGAAATGTCTGCCCTAAAGAAAGGCTTTTACTTCAACACTCCAAGTTCTGTGTGTTACATTATAGCTATTTATTGAGAAAGAGCAGACAAATGTCAGTCCTCAGGTCCACAGAAAGCCGCCTTGCATTTGGCTGGTCAGATCCAGGAGTCCCTGTTCACGAGCAGAACAGAGAATGCAAATCTTTGCACCTGTGAAAGGTAGACAAAACAATTTCCTTGGCTCGGAGGTATTTGTCGTGGTTCTACAAAATGACTAAAATGCCAAGTGCTGAAGTGATTGTTGTCCCGGATATTTAAAGCAAGGAAGCTCATTTTCCTTCAAACGTTTGCAAATAGAAAACTAAAGCTCTGGCAAATTGAGTGTGGAAAATAAACCTCCCCTCTCCTCACTCTCCAGCAAGCTTGATAAACTTATTAATCTTTTATAACACAAATTTCTGTGACTCACAGCTGGAAAGCTGCCAGAGCTATAGGCAAATAGGAACTGATTTGGCTTCTTAAAAGCTGGGTATCTGCTTCAGAGTATTTGGGAATATATATATATAAAATTATCTAGGAATTTTGCCAGCAATTTCAATAAACTATATTCTGTCTAAAAAAAAACTTAATCAAAAGGAGTACATAAGAATATGAACATACATTTAGCTTTACAAAATAAAGACAAAAGAGCTTCCTACCAGGATGAGAGTTGATCATACTAAAGAATAACTTGTTTCATAAATTAGGTTTCTAAATGAGATTTAGTGCTTAATGGCATCAAGGCTCTCTGCATTAATCTTAATCCTAATAAGCATAAAAAGAGAGTCACTCCATTTAAGAAAATCGTTAATGAAAATTTCCACACCAGTATGGAAAAAAAAAATCTCCTCCTCTAGACTTTGATAGTTTTAAGCAATTTACAGAAGTAAATCCTATTCAAAATGTAGAGGTACTTGTTAGATGCCTAGTCTTTGTATAGCCAAAGGAGAGAAAGAGGATTTTATAAGGTAAGGTATAAGGATTTTTAAATAAGGTAATAATCAAAACACCTAAGGTAGTGTCTTGCGCTCATACCATTTTCCAGAGGAGTCTCTCAGCAGACCAAAGGGGAATCTCTGGAGCCCAGTGTCTTAGCTTACAGTCCTAAATAAGCTGCATAAAGTGAAGCAGAACAAAGATCAAGTGAGATTTGTGTCTTGTGCAAACTGCCAGCAGAAATTCTCTGCGTTATTTGCAGAGCAGTTTTGCATTGCTAGCATCAAGTCTTCTGGGAGAGGGGAAAGCCTTTAATAAAATCCAAAAGAATTCTAGGGGATTATCAGAGAGACTATTAATTTTAATTCATTCACTCCCCCCCCACCACCCCCGAGTTTCAATCCTCCTTCTTTAGCATCTTTTATTTCCTATCTGGCGAAAACCAGCAGGGCTGTGTTATTGAAAAGTTTGTTTCCTCTAAGAGAAAATGAAGAATGTTAATACAGTAGATGCACTTCAGTGTTTTCCACACATCAGCCATGAGATGCCACGATATCACTTAATGAAGCTGAAGGCAAGGAGCAGGGTTTTCACAAGCAGTACAATAGGGTGGCACAAATGCAAGAGTAGGGTGCAAAAGAACTGTGTTCTCTACTGCTGGTCTTCCAAGAAGCCTTGATCTACAAAGTCAAATGACTTGCTCCGTCACAGCATGAGTATGATGAAGTGCAAGATACTGAGACCCACTCTAAGTGGGTCCAAGTCCTTTTTGTTCTTTGACAGAGGGCCTCAAGCACTGAACTTTCATGTCTCAGCTTTTCACTGTAAGTCTAACATTAACAAGGGAACAAACAGCTTGAGGTAACAAGTGGTTTGCAGGAAAATTAACAGAATGGCTCATCCCACTAATTTACTACTCATCTTTGTATAATGATGTATTTAGGATTAAATCATAGACTCTTTACGTTCAATTTAGATTTTTTAAATCAAAGCTTTCCACATCTTCTACCCATTAACATCTTTATACCTACCAAAGATTTTTTTTTCCTGTGCCCTAGCTGCCGGGTGCTCTAGGGCATCTTCCTGGAATCCTGTGCACCACCAGGTACTTCAAGCACTTTTAAAGGTGCTAAAATCAGGGAGGTGAGGTCCCTGTTGTAGCCTGTGCAAAGATATAATGGAACTGAGAACACTTGACTTAGATGCCTGAAAAGGTGGCCTCAACCAGAGCTAATGCACCAGGCTGTGGGCAACATGGGCAGTGGTTCAGAGCCTCAGGATCGAGCACCTATTCTCCATGGTGTTCCTGCCCCGGGAGCTTGGGCATGCTGCAGTGTGCTTGAAGGTGGCCAGGCTGAGCCAGCTACTCTGCTGGGATTCAGGCACTGGATCTACTGTCTGATAACATACAGCATCATTTCTTCTGCAGCACAAAGTCCTTGTTAGGGCACCTCAGAACAAGAAAGGAGTGTCCAGGATGCTCCTGAAGAGAAGTCCCCTCGTCATCCTGCAGGTAAATGTTCCAGTGAAGTTCTACCCTGGTGCTGGCACTGTCAGCGCTGACACTGTACCTGCTTCAGAAGTGAATGGAGGGTGCCAGCATTCCTTGGGATCAGTGTAATAAATAAATCCAGGGTTATCTGATACTCTGGGAAACAACTACAGTTTTGCGAAAGGCCACTCTCAGACGTACAGCAGTCACCATCTTGGGAAAAACAAAATCCAGACATTCAATTGTCTGGGTAACAAGTGTTTGAAAAACCATGCTATAGTAGGCTGTAACAAAGAACCAAATTTCTGCTTTTGGAGGAGAAGGGAAAAAAAGTTCAAAATGAAGGAACACAACTCCTCAGTTCTAGTAACATTTATGAAAAATCTGCCTCCTCCTAGGCAGATTTTACTCCTAAGGGCACTTCTAAAACACTAATACAGAAACATATGTTCTATTTTAAGTTAAATGGAGATTAAGAGATAGCTATAATTACATCAACCAAAAAAAAAAAAAAAAAAAAAAAACAGTTTCAGTCAATATGTACAGTAAGTCAGGCAAGTTATTTATTTTTTCAGCAGTTAGAATACACAGCTGCTCACGTTTGATAGCATTTCACATTCATCATTACATTTATTTGCTTACTTACAAACTGGTGTGAAGTGCTGCTTCTCTTCTCTTCCCAGACAGATAAATTACAAGCTGTAGATATCACAAACACGATACAGAAACATGAATTACACATTAATCGGACACAAGGATGGGAAGGAGAGGAGAGAGAGAGAGTCATTCACTATTAAGGATATAGCCCATGTTCTGCCGAGAAAAATAGGACCTGGAGGCTTGGAAACCTGCTCCTGCATGCTGCATGATGTGTGCACAATGACATATCCACCTTGGTTTAGTATTTGCCAGGCAAATCACAAAGCCCTCTAAGGCTACAGCAGCATATAATCTCTTTGAACGTTTTCCTGAGCTCCTGACTCCGGAATGCATAGATAAGAGGATCGATGATGGAATTGCACATGATGAGGATAAGGTAAAAGTTAAAGTGAGACATGAAGCAAACACAGTAAGGATTGTAGGGGCAGGAGATGTAAAAGATCAGGTGCAGGAAAAATGGGGCCCAGCACACAACAAAAACTCCAATCAGGATGGTGAGAGTGATGGCCCCCTTCATGTTGGCCCCTTGGCGAATAGGGCCAGTTCCCGGAAGAACTGCAATTTTTTTGATATGCATCCGGGCCATCATGAACATGTGGACGTAGAGGGAGGCCATGAGAATGAGCATGGTGAAGAACATGCTGATAAGGCAGATGATGACGACACTGCTGTCAGAGTAAATGATGAACAAAATGCCTGACACCGTGCAAGCCGCCCAGATGCATGTGATGATGACCCCTACGCGCTTCACCGTCATGATGTTATGGTACTGGAGGGCGTAAAAGATAGTGAAATACCTGTCCACTGCTATTGAGAGGAGACTGCAAATTGATGCAAGCAGGGAACTGCAAATCACTGAGTCAATGACATTGTCAATGTTTATGGTAAAGCTCTGCGCGTCTGTGTCTGTGTTGTTTAGCAGCGTGATGACAATAGTTTCGGATCCATTGGATACGCTCACTAGCATGTCGGCCACTGCCAAGCTACAGATGAAGAAGTACATGGGCGAATGGAGGTTCTTGTTCTTGGCTATCGCCACAATGACCAAGACGTTCTCCAACAAGCTGATGACGCCCAAAGTCACAAACACTTCAGGAGAAACGAAGAGTTGCTCGTAGCAGCCTCCTGAGGAGTGACCCTTGGCGCTGGGCTCGACGGCACCTCCGTGTGCTCCATGGCTGTGGTTCCAGAAGTGGAGAGGCTGGAGCGTCCCACGCTGATGGGTGAAATTCATCTTAGGGAGAGCCTTTTTCAGCCTCCTGCTTTTAAATCTGTCCTTTTTGCATCCTGTAAAAATCCTCCTTTGGCTTTTCAGTGGGAGAAGAAAATGAAAAAAAAAAAAAAAAGATCCAGCACCAAAGCAAGAACCAAGTTCAGAATACTTTAGCTGCTAACACAAAAGAAGGTTTTCAAACTCAGAAATGCTGTTTTGGTCTCACAGATGCAGTTTCTGACCATCACCACATTCACCCCAGTTGCCTATGTCATAAAGTCCCAACAACCAGCTGCAAGTTTGCATCGGATCCTCCCTTACGTTCGGTTCCCGTTTAATTCACAGATACACGTTGCAAGGTGGTTTTTTTCCCCCCCTTCCCTTCCATTAAGAGAGGTAAACAGAAAATGCCCAAGTGGCTGCTGCCGAGCAGGAACTAGTCTCAAACTGCAAGCACCTTCCTCGCTGTCAGGCAGCGCACGCTGGCTGCCTGCTTTATGGTGTGTGGAGGAGAGGAATATTCAGGGGCACTCTCCGCCTCTGCCTTGCCTGGCAGCCAATGGGGCTCTAATGCCGCTTCCGAGCTGCGCTCCAGCACCGCTCCATGCAGCGCGCCTGGGCGCAGCAGCGGCTCCCAGCAGCCGCAGGCAACCAGGGAGGCTCGTGGAGATTGGTTTCACTGCCTTCACTTTGCACAAGGGTGTTTTAGTGCTTGTTTTGTGGATTTTGGGGGGGTATCATCGGTTTCACTCCTTGCTGCCACGGTTGCACTAGCAAGCCGACAGAATCCCCGCAGCTGCACTGATGGCTTCTGTTTTTAGGCTGAGATTTATTCTTCCCTTCTGTGACATGAAGTTGTTCCATATTGTATATGTGGGTGGTAAAATAGAAGACAGGAAAGCAAGAGAATACTCATTTCCTCTTGGCTTTCTCTTGCCAACTATCTATGCATTAACTTCCCTATGTCTTAATTATCCATTTGCAAGATGTGGTGTTGAGAGGCTGCAAACTTTCTATGCTTGTTTTTTTGCTTGTTTTGTTCTTGGTTTTTTTTTTTTTATTATTTATTTATTCATTTTTATGAAATAGAGGCCATCTAAGGCACTATTTGCAGGGCTACTCTGACTACCCTGACTTCTATGACTCACAAACAGCCAAGAAATGTCCTAAATGACATGTCCTAATATCCTAAAGAGTATAGTTTTGCCCGGGTAATATCCTTCTTTATTGCCTTATTTCCAGGAAGGAAAAGATGATAGAATTAATTGTAGCTGGCCTTTCATCATCAGGAATTAGGATGCTAGGCAGAAAAAGAGTATAATTAGAGAATAGTTAAGAATCAAACAAAGAGACAAAGTTGCAACCTGTGAGAAACACGGCTCATACACTGGTAACAACCCCAAGACATTAATAAATCTCATAATAGTTTGTCCCAAGGCTGTCTCCGTGCTTACCTGACACAAACTGTAAGTCAGCTTCTGTGCACTCTGCCAAGAAAAGCCCTCAAGACAGCAGAGGAAAAAAGCCAAATGTCTACAAAGAGAGAGAGAGACAAAAGCTATTTTGCTCTTTCCTCTTACAAGCCCTGCAACTGAAAACTAAGACCACAAATTCCTGATAAATACTAAAACATAGCTGGATTTTAAATCTGTGGAAGCTGTAGAAAAGTCATTACACTTTGCAAAAGCTTGCAAAGAAGTTGTTTGAATGCTTGAATGCAGGACGCTAGAATGGCACCCACCAGATAGGCTGTGGACTAGACTGTATCAGAGGCAGGAGCCAGGGAACATTTTTTTTCACTCTCCCATTTTTTTTTCACACCTGCTTTCTGATTTATCAGATCAACAGCTAACCAGACAGACAGGAATACAGTGTGCCTGTGGAAGTGCAGCACGGGGTGAAGCAGGATTTTGCTGTCACATCCGGATTTGTGGGCCTTCCCCAGACAGATAGCTTCACAAAGCTGAAACATAAATACCAAAGGCAAACAAAATATCTTGAGGCACAGGAAACCCCACATTTATCACAGAGGAGATCATCATTCACCAGCAGCCTCCCTGCAATGAAAGAATAGCTTGCTGCTGAGGGCAAGATTTACTTTCCCATCAAGACATGAAGCATGCAGGGATTCAGAAAGATCTGTTATCTTGTTACTCAGCCCTGGACCAGCACCACTGTCTCCTGCTGTGGACAGGACTTGCCTACCTAATGCTTAAGGGCATGTCTAAAAAGAGTGCAGAAAGAAAATTTCCAGGAAGATCCATGCAGGAGAGAAGCATCCCTTCAGACAAAGCTTTTTTCCCTACATCTACAGCCAGAAAAGTGCCATCTGCAAGTTATCCCAAGGAGGAGGCAGCTCAGCACACCCTCCTTCACCAGCTCCATCTGTGCTGGGGGCACCTGTGGTGCAGGAGCTCTCCCTTTCGTGGCCCTTGGTGGAGCCAGAGCTCAGCAGAGCTGGGATACAGGCTGCCTCCACAGGATACTATCCTGTTTGCTCCAGCCGTCTCTCTGTCCATCCTCTTTCTGCTCTGGGTCTGGAAGAAACCTTGCCTCATCTTCCTCCACGGCTCAAGTCTGTGCTAGCTTGGGGACTACTGCACCGTCATTCACCTCAGATTTTTGCCTCCTGCCCTGCGAGTCATTCTTGAGGCAAAGTTACAGTTGTTTTGGTGTGCTAGCTGCTCATATTTGTAGGGTAAGGGTACATGACTGAAAGCAATAGACTTATGGTAGCTTAGCAACTCAGCTGAAGCACTGTAGCAGAGGATGCACCATTAGCCTGCTCTAACTGCAAGGTAAAACTTGTTATTTTTTTTAATAAGAGAATGTATATGTGTATTTAAATATTTCTGCAGTAGGTGGATGCGTGTGTCTTGCTCTCTCTTAGCAAAACACACACCATATAATTTTTTAAAATCTCAAAGGAGTCTAGCTCTCACAAGCCTAGAAACAAAAAAGTATTATTTGTTTTTTTAACTGATGGAAAACAGGAGTAATATGCAAGTTGAGCCAATATTTCTTTCAAAAATCACACAGATTCACAGAACGAGTAAGATTGGAAAGAACCTCTGGAGAGCATCTAGTCCAACACCTCAAGAGCACATTGCTCAGGACCCTGTTTAGATGGCTTTTAAATTTCCCCAAGGATGGAGACTCCACGGCCTCTCTGGGCATCTTGTTTCAGTACTCTGACACCTTCACAGTAAAAAAGCTTTTCCTTATGTTCAAGTGGGCTTCCCCTGTATCCATTTGTGCCTGTTGCCTCTCATCCTATCTCTGAGCAACACTGGGAAGAGACAGGCACTATTCTCATTACTTCCTCTTGTGTCGGGGAGCCCAGAACGGGACCCAGTGCTCCAGACTAAGCAGAGGGGAACGATCACCAGTTGGTACCTCTCTCAAAATTCTTCTTGAGAAAGTATTTATCAGCAAGCAGGACTAAGTACAAATTGAACTTTGCTCAGCAAACTGAAAAGCAATAATCCTGATTTTGTGATTCCATCAGTTTGTTTTATGACAAAAAAAAAGCTGTTAATTCAGCCCCTTCCTTTGTTCATGACCTTCATATACAAATACAATAGCAATAAAATACTTTTAGCAATTGCACACTCTTCTTCACTACTCATACACTCTTGAATACCTTTCAGTGCAGTTGTCTTTAGCTCATAACACAATTTTCTATTATGAATTTTAGAATGACTTTCACTTTTCTAGTTTATCATCTTCAGTTCTGTTATAAAAATATTCCACATTCTTCTGTGTGAGATGTGCAGTTGCCTTTTATTCTATCAGAAAAAGATCTAGTCAGTCTACCTGTCTAACCATGAAAACTTGAAAAATAATAATGTCATACTATAATTGAATGAGAAACTCAGAACCAGGCAGGAAAAAAATGACAGATCATTATTTAGTGATACCCAGTGTTGCACAAGGGCACAAAAAGCTAGTGTTTCAGATGACATGAGTTCATCTCAGCTTTTCAGAAAAGTCCACAGAGAGGAAGTATAATCTACAGTTAATGTGAAATTGGAAGTTACTAACTAGCTTGACTTTTCTGTGCCATTCTGTTCACATCGAATAATGACTGCCATTATTCTAACTGAGAAGTCACACAGCCACTTCTTAGACATATGGTAAAGTGACTGCTGAGACACACATGAAACGATTAACAGGTTTAAAATCCACTCATCAGGAATCTCGGTAAATCAGGGTATTTATGTAGAAACAATAATTCCAAATGAAGGAATATACCAATGATTATGGCCAGAGCAATGTCTCCACTGTCCAAGCCACCTGTTGGATGGCCATACCCAAAAGCATATCTGTGTGCAGCAGTTCTAAAAGGCTTTGTAGACTAAAAGCTTTGGATTTGGGAAGAGAAGAGTAGGATAGCGATGGGATCTGGAAATGTCTGACAAGACAAGAGAGAACATTAATTCTGAAGAAACTGCAGCCTGTTAGCAGCTTGATATGGAAGGAAGCTACTAAAGAAAATCCATCCTGTCACTCCAAAATAATCTCCAAACCACTCATTATTTAGAAAATGCCTTATAAATTCACTTGCACCTCCAGATGTCTATAGTTATAGAATCTATATCAAAATGTTTTCTTTTTTTGTTGTTTGTTTGTTTTCTATGCATTTGATTATAATAATGCCAGCCCTTATTTCTATCCTTGTACTGTTCTGCTTGTAGTGCAATCTGTAATCCACTGATTACATACCTTGCAATATGACAAACTGAGATTATTAAAATACAACTTACTCATTTTTAGTCACTCTGCAGAATTTATAGCCTATGTGTATATAGGCAACCATCAACAATGACATTATTTTAACCCTTCCTTCAGGGCATACAGGTATAAAATGTACACTTGCAACTCAGCTCCATAGTGTTCAAACTCCCTTTTCCTCCTCCATGTAGAGCAGATAGCAAGTAGTTACCAGGAAAGCCCAAAGTAATTTGAGCTCTGCTATCAAAGGTAGGTTCCAATTGAATTGTGCAGGGTATTATGGGATTTCATAGCTTCTATCCATTTTGAAAGTTCTTTAGAGCACTCGGTTCTTAAGCAGAGATATAGAACAAAACCTGGACAGATTCTGTTCTGCACCCAACAGAATACACGTAAGTGGCCTATGAACTGTCTTTCTGCAGGGGAATTTAGTTTTTAAAGACAGAATTGGGAAACTTGGAGCCATAATCTGGCATAAGGTGTCAAGTAGATTGATCAAGTCATGTGACAAACACGTGTTAATCGACAGTGGTGCCAGGGTGAGAATCCAAGTTAGAGGGCAGAAATGAGAGCACTGTCTTGAGATGAGCTCAGCCTCACTGACACTTAACCCATTTGACATAATCTTCTCTCAGAACTGGTCCAAGAGAGGGCAAAGATTTCAGAATAGTTAATGTAAAGCCTAATCTCTTTCTGTAACATGTCTCCAGGGTCTTGGGTTCCTGAAAATCTCCTTAAATCAGTCATCCACATATGGTGACAAGAATACTCCATTTCATCTAGCGGCAATTGCTACAACTTCTCTTACAAAGACCTCTGGTATTGTAA